AAACTGTAATGCTGAAACACTAAACTGAAATAAAACTTTACAATTTTTCCATTTTTCAGTGTTTTAGTGTCCTAATTTTCCGTTTTCGCAACTTGAATGTTTTCAAATTTTCAATTTCTCAATTTGCAAAATTTTCAGTTTTTCGTTTCTTCGATTTTTCAGTTTTATTTTTCATATTCCCGATTTTTTAATTTTCATTTTGTTGATTTTACGAGTATATCACGATTTTTCGTTTTTCATTTCCTTTTTTTTCATGTTTCTTTCGATTTTATAATTTGTCGTATTCTTCAAATTTTCAATTTTTGAATTTCCCAAATATCAGGTTTTCCCATTTTTTTTTATTTTCAATAATTGGATTTTACAATTTCGTTTTTTCAATTTTGTAGTTATTCGATTTTTGAGTTTCTCAATTTTTATTCATTCGATTTGTAAATTTTTCAAGTTTTCCATTACTAATTTTTAGATTTTTCAATGTTTTCCTTCTATACTTTTTCGTTTAATGATTTTTGATTTTTCAATTCTACAATTTTGCAATTTTTGTACTTTTTTTATTCGAAACAGTTGAAAAATCGAAGACCTGAAGGAACTAAAAATCGAAAGACTGAAAAACTAAAAATCGTGAAATTTAAAAAAATAAAAATCAAAAAATAAAAAAATCCAAAAATTGTAAAATTGTAGAATCGTCAAAATTGTAAAGTTGAAAGATTGAAAAACTGAATTTTAATTTTTTAATTTTTCAATGTTTAGTTTCATAATTTTTCGTCTTCCGAACTTTAATTTTTTTCAAATTTTCAATTTCTCGATTTCCAAATTTTTCAATTTTTATGTTTCAGTTTCCAATTTTAAATTTTTAAGTTTTATTTTTCATTTTTCCGATTTTTTTAAGCTTGATTTTCTAAATTTTATATCACAATTTTTCGTTTTTTCATTTCTTTTATTTTTTCAATGTTTGATTTTTCAATTCTTTGATTTTCCAATTTTTTAATTATTCGATTTTGCAATTTATGAATTTCTCAGATTATCAGATTTTCCGATTTTTTAAATTCATCATTGATTTCTTAATTTTATAATTTTGCATTTTTCCTTTGTTTTATTCGAAAAGTTGAAAAATCGAAAACTACAAAATCAAAAAATTAAAAATCAAAAAACTAAAAAACCGGAAAAATTGCAAAATCGAAAAATTGGAAACCCAAAAATTGTAAAATCGAAAAATTAAATATATACCTAGAAATTGAAAAATTAAAAATCGAATAAATGAAAAATTCTTAAAATCCGTTAATTGAAAATTGGAAAAGTTCTAAAACCGGAACATTGAGAATGTGAAAAATTTTAAAGCTGAAAAATCATGAATTTGAAGAGCCTAAAATTGAAAAAACGAAAAACGAAAAATTTTAAAACTGAAAAATCGAAAAATTACTATTAAAAATTTCACACTGAAAAAATAAAAATTGAAAAAATAAATAAAATAAAAAACCAAAACGAAAATTTGCAAATCGAAAAATTGAAGAAACGAATAACTGAAAAAATTTAAACTTAAAAAAATATATACATATATAAAATCGGAACATTGAAAAATCGAAAAATTGTAAAAATAAGTAACAGAAAAAACAGAAAAAAAAATTCCAATGGAAAATTTGAAGAAATGAAAAATTAAAGAATCGAAAAATTAGAAACTTAAAAATTGAAAACACGAGAAATTTTAAATCGAAAAATCGAAGAAATGAAAAATTAAAGAATCGAAAATTTAAGAAATTAAAAGTTGAAGTATTCAAGTTGGAAAATCGCAAAACTGAAAAAGTTAAAAATGGAAACTTAAAGAAATGAATAGAAAAAATGGAAATTGAAAAATATATATAAAATCGAAAGATGGAACAAAGTAAAAATTGTAGAAATAAGGAATATAAAAAAACCAAAAATAAAAATTGCAAATCGAAAATTTGAAGAAATGAAAAATTAAGCAATCGAAAAATTGGGCAATTAAAAATTGAAGAAACAAAGAAAAAACGAAAAATTGAAAAATTGTAAATCGAAAAATTGAAGAAACGAAAAATTTAAAATTCGAAAATTTGAGAAATTAAAAATTGAAACATCCTAAAGTTGGAAAATCGGAAAACTGAAAAATTGTAAAAAGAAAACTCGAGAGAAATGCATCCCGTAAAATTGAAAAAAATGAGAAATTGAAAAACTGCAAACGGAAAAACTGAAGAAACCAATAACAGAAAAAATTGAAATTGAAGAAAATATGTATAAAATCGGAAGATGGAAAAACGTAAAAACAGTAAATTGAAAATTTGAAGAAACAAAAAAATAAAATGTTGAAAAACCGCAAATCGAAGAATTGAAGAAAAGAGAAATTAAAAAAACAGATAATAATAAAATCGGAGGATCGAAAAATTATAAAAATAAACAAATTTAATCAATGCATATCATTACTTGGTCTTAGTACCCGTAATGATAGAAGTCTTGCCTGAATGCCGGTCATTTCCGGGTCAGTGGTGGGTCCACAACAAAATAAAAAACCGAAACCAAAAATTGCAAGTAAATTAAAGAATCGAAAAATTGGGAAATAAAAAATAAAAATTGCAAATCGAAAATTCGAAGAAATGAAAAATTAAGCAATCGAAAAATCGCAAAATCCAAAAATTGAAGAACAAAAAAATTTTGAAAAAACGAAAATCGCAAAATTGATGAAATGAAAAATTGAAAAAACAAAAAATTATAAAATGGAAGATCGAAAAATTATAAAAATAAACAAAATAAAAAACCGAAACCAAAAATTGTAAGTCGAAATTTGAAGAAGTGAATTAAAGAAACGAAAAATTGGGAAATTAAAAATTGAAAACGGGAAATTTTTAATCGCAAAAGTGCAAAATCCAAAAATTGAAGAAACGAAAAATTGTAAAAATAAAGAATATAAAAAACCAAAAACAAAAACTGCAAATCGAAAATTTTATGAAATGAAAAATAAGGAATCGAAAAATTTAAAACTCGAGAAATTTTAAATCGAAAAATTGAAGAAACAAAAAAAATGAAAAATTGAAAAATCGAGGAAATGAAACATTCAAAAAATTATAACTGAAAAAACAAAATCGGCACATTGAAAAATCGAAAAATTTTTAATATACAGAAAATAAATCATCGAAAATTTGAAGAAATGAAAAATTTCAAATTCGAAAATTTGAGAAATTAAAAATTGAAACATCCCAAAGTTGGAAAATCGAAAAACTGAAAAATTTAAAAATGAAAACTACAAGAAATGCCTCTTGTAAAATTGAAAAAAAATGAGGAATTGAAAAACTGCAAATCGAAAAACTGAAGAAACGAATAACAAAGAATTGAAATTGAAAAAAATTTGTATAAAATCGGAAGATGGAACAACGTAAAAATTGTAAAAATAAAGAATATAAAAAACCAAAAACAAAAATTGCAAGTCAAAAATTTGAAGAAATAAAAAATTAAGGAATCCAAAAATCGCAAAATTTAAAAATTGAAGAAACAAAAAAAATAAAATGTCGAGAAACCGCAAATCGAAGAATTGAAGAAAAGAGAAATTAAAAAAACAAATAAACATAAAATCATAAAATCAGAGGATCGAAAAATTATAAAAATAAAGAAAATAAAAACCGAAACCAAAAATAGCAAATTGAAAATTTGAAAAAAAGAAAAATTAAAGAATCGAAAAATTGAGAAATTAAAAATTGAAAACACGACCAATTTTTTATTGCAAAATCTAAAATTGAAGAAACAAAAAAAAAAACGAAAAATTGAAAAATCGCAAATCGAAAAATTGAAGAAACGAAAAATTTAAAATTCTAAAATTTGAGAAATTAGAAATTGAAACATCCCAAAGTTGAAAAATCGGAAAACTGAAAAATTTAAAAAAGAAAACTCGAAGAAATGCATCTCGTAAAATTGAAAAAAACAGAGAAATTGGAAAACTGCAATTCGAAAATTTGAAGAAACGAATAGAAAAAATGGAAATTGAAAAAAATATATATAAAATCGGAAGATGGAACAATGGTAAAAATTGTAGAAATAAAGAATATAAAAAAACCCAAAAATAAAAATTGCAAATCGAAAATTTGAAGAAATGAAAAATTAAGCAATCGAAAAATCGCAAAATCCAAAAATTGAAGAACAAAAAATTATTAAATCGAAAATCGAAAAATTATAAAAATAAACAAAAAAAAAACCGAAACCAAAAATTGCAAGTCGAAAATTTGAAAAAATGAAAAATTAAAGAATCGAAAAATTGGGAAATTAAAAACTGAAAACACGAGAAATTTTTAATCGTAAAAGTGCAAAATCTAAAAATTGAAGAAACAAAAAAAAAACGAAAAATTGAAAAATCGCAAATCGAAAAATTTCAAATTCGAAAATTTGAGAAATTAAAAATTGAAACATCCTAAAGTTGGAAGAAATGCTTCTCGTAAAATTGAAAAAAATGACAAATTGAAAACTGCAAATCGAAAAACTGAAGAAACCAATAACAGAAAAAATTGAAATTGAAAAAAAATATGTATAAAATCGGAAGATGGAACAACGTAAAAATTGTAAAAATATAGAATATAAAAAACCAAAAACAAAAATCGCAAGTCGAAAATTTGAAGAAATGAAAAATTAAGGAATCCAAAAATCGCAAAATTTAATTTTTAAATTGCAAATCGAAAAAATGAAAAAACCAAAATTGGAAAAGCAAAGATTTATAAAATCGAAACATCGAGAAATCGAATAAGTGAAAAAACGAAGAAAATAAAAACCGAAATGAAATATGGCAAACCAAAAAATTAAAAATTCGAGAAACTCAAATCGAAAAATTGCAAAATCTAAAAATTGAAAATTTTTAAAACTGAGAAAACAAAAAAATAATAGTAAAACGTAGCGATGTACTAATGCAACATTATGACGATGTACCAGCAAGCACGTCCCTAGTAGAGGGAACGCAGACATACGCAATACGTTCGTAGACACAGTCAACTTACTCACTGGGCAACACCTACCTGTACAATACGACGAAGACCTCGAGTGTCTCGGATCCGTGGTAAACCCGATCTGGTTGTTCACCACGATGTGTATCGTCCCATGGGTGGTGTAATCAGGCAGATCCGACAAGTGCATCGTTTCGAAAACGATGCCTTGTCCACAGAAGGCCGCATCTCCGTGCAACAATATAGACATAACCTTCTTGCCCTCGCCGTCACCTCGATAGAACTGTTCGGCTCTTGTTTTCCCTTGGACAACAGGATCGACAGCTTCGAGATGGGAAGGATTGGCCACCACGGCCAACCTGATATTTTTGTTGGTGACGCGGTTCAGCCGCTCGATGTAGGTACCCAAGTGGTACTTGACGTCACCGGAGCCGTCGTCGGCGGCTTCCAACCCGGCGAACTGGGTGAAGAGTTGATGGAGGGGTTTGCGACAGACGTTGGCGAGGACGTTGAGACGACCGCGGTGGGGCATACCCATGACGATGCTCTCCACGCCGAGCTCGGTCGACTTGTCGATGACTTGTTTCATGGCGGGGATGAGGATCTCGCAGCCTTCGAGACCGAAGCGCTTCTCGGAGGACCACTTTCGGGCTAAGAAGGACTCGAATCTGGAGAAACGTAGCGTTCGTTTGGTTTCTTCGATTCTTGGGTTAAAACTCACCCGGTGGCTCGGGTCAATCGCGCCAAGATTAGTCTCTTCTCGTCGGCGCCGATCTCCATGGCTCCCGGAGTCTCCAGCCGCTGCCTGATCCAGTTGCACTGTTCCAAGCTGTTGATGAACATAAACTCGACCCCGATATGTCTACAATAGGTCAGTTCCAGCCTCCTCAGGATCTCCCTCAGAGGCAACTGCTTCTCTTTACCACCAATGAAGGTGGTCGACGGTAATTTGAAAGTGCGGTCCATGTCGTCATCCTCTGCACCACGCAAGAATTAGCCCAAATCACAGAAAACCGAACCCAGCAACTTTACTTTATTTAAAACCGCAACCAAAAATAAAAAAAAGAGTGCCGAAGAAGCGATAAAATAAAGTTGCTTTCACTTAAACGGTCGTCGTACGAGTCAGCTTGAAACATTTCGGACGTTTTAGGGTGTTAATAAGCGGAAGAAAGTCAAAGAAACGTACAGAAAAATCTACAGCAGTCGCTTTATCTACAGGGTGTGTACTTATCTCTCGTCTCCCTCCACAAAAAATCTTTTTACAATATAAAGTAAGTTGCTCTTACAAAAACAAAAATCAGAAGCCTTACGTTTCATGAACTGCTCGACCTGGCGCTTCAGCTCTTCAGAGTAGGTCCTGGACGGGTTGTCTGAGTTAACAAAATGAAACACGCCAAACAAAATTAAAAAAAAAAACACAAAAAATAAAAAGGGGGCTAAACGAAAGTCGGAAAACTACGCATGCAACACTGGCGACACGTCGTAGGTGTCGTTAAATCAGTGCTTTTTAGTAGTTAGTGCGCTCGATTAGTTATAGTGTGATGAAAAAAAGCCTAGTTTTTCTCTCACAGATGTCGCGAGTGGTGTGTGGGTGTGGTAAGTCGGAGGTTATCAAATTAGTTCTTACCGAAACTGTAGTGGGAGTAGAGCAACTCCTGGGGCGTCCTGTCGTCCAAGTCGGCACTGTTGATGCCCAGAGGGTCCAGTTTAGCTATGTGATGTCCTCTGATCTAAAATCGAGCCAACACCTCTATCTACACCATGTATTGTCACAAGTTTTTGGTATTCTGATAAAGCCATAGGTGCCGATGATGGGGTGCAGAGCAGTAAGATAGCAGAAAACGCGTCGTATTTTTGGATTTATACAGTTATTTCGTTATTATGAAAACAGTTCCAGTTTTATGTAACATTAATTATTTTTATTCTTTGTGTTGGCAGAGTTTCATATTTGTTTCCAAAATTAAACAAGTCATAAATAATTCCTCGTTTACTATAAGCCACATTGTAAAAGTCTCACAAACAGAAATGTGTTTAGTTTTGTGATCGATATACACAGTTATGACAAAGTAATGCACAAAATTCATAAAAAATTAAAAACATTTTTGAGCGGTATTACCGCTTGCTTATACAAAAGTCTAGAAAAAAGTTAAACATAAATCGGCTCATTCTTTAATTTTCATGAGCTATATGTTTCAGCAAATCTAAAAAACATGAATGCAATGATAAATTATTATAAGTAAAAACTCATCACATTTTGGGTAGAATTTATTCTTGTTATCGAAATAAGTCTACACATATTAAGAAAAAAAGGCAAAATGTAGCCCCGCCCACCCGCCCTCTCTCAATTGTGATGATTTTTTTTATTCGTCGTAAGCCAAGGGGGAGGAGCCTGATTGCAAAATCCATGTTTCCTTTCAAAAATTTACCATTTTAAATGTGTTTTAAATTTCTAAGTATTCTAAGTATTTTGCCTTTTTTCTTAATATATGTAGTATTATTTGAACAACACGATACTCAAAAATATCTTTTTAATTTCTAAGTAATAAGTATTTTGCAGTTAAGCTCCGCCCCCTTGGTGCACAGTGAATAAAAAAAATCATCACAATTGAGATGGGGTGGGTGGGCGGGGTTTATATTTCGCCTTTTTGTTTTAGAATGTGTAGACTTTTTTTCGCAACATGAAACTTAACATTTAAAATGGAAAATTTCTATAAGGAAATACCGATTTTGCAATTAACCTCCGCCCCATAATTGCAAAATCCGCATTTCCTTGCAAAAATGTACCATTTTAACCATATTTTAAGTTTCTTGTTGTGAAAAAATGGCTATGTATATTAAGAAAAAGAAGGCATAAGACAACTTTAAAACATCTCCTGATTAAATCAAAAAAATAAATTCACGCATTTATTAATTTTTTTGATGAGCCATTCTATTGGTCTACGAATTCCAATCCATCTTCCCTAAAATTGATTATCCAAAAAAACCTTGCATTCCCGTCATAATTTTGTGCATAGTTTATCATAATCCTGTATACTTTTTTTTTTAATATGTATTTATAAAAACGTTTTTAACGTGAAACATTTTATTTGTACAATAATCACACTGGCCGCACAATTTTCGTATGATTGCCAAAAAGTAGACAAGAATTTTCAAAAAGTCCCTAGTTTTGAAGACAAAAAAACTCAAGATAATTGAAGATATTTTGAAGAAACTTCACTATCAACAAACATGACAAATATACAAAATTTTGTAAAAAAACAATTCGGCGTAGACTTTTTTGTTTTTTTTTTGAATATTCAAAAAATCTGTTTGATTCAATGAAAACAGTTAATCTTTGTTTTTTTTTTAATATATGGAGTTTTCTTTCAATAACAGGATAGTTAACCAAGTTTTCAGAAAAGAAGATTTAGTATATTAAGAAAAAAATGAACAAGATACAAGCCCCGCCCACCCACCCCTTCTCAACTGTGACGAATTTTTTATTCATTGTGAGCTGAAGGGCGGGATTTAGTTACAAAATGCTCATTTCTCTACAAGAAATTAACATATGAAATTCATCACAATTGAGATTGGGGTGGGTGGGTGGGGCGCAATCTTTTTTTTTAATATATAGAGTGTTCTTTCAACAACAAGAAAGCTAACCATGTTTTCAGTTTCTCTTTGGGAAAAGACGACTTGGTACATTAAGAAAAAAATGGACAAAATACAAGCCCCGCCCACCCACCCCTTCTCAATTGTGATAAATGTTATATTCATCGTGAGCTGAAGGGCGGACTTTAGCTGTAAAATCCTCATTTCTCTACAACAAATGAACATATGAAATACATCACAATTGAGAATGGGGCGGGTGGGTGGGGCTTAATCTTTGCTGTATTTTTAATATATAGAGTTTTCTTTCAATAACAGGATAGTTAACCATGTTTTCAGTTTCTTTTTGGGAAAAGAAGACTTGATAAATTAAGAAAAAATGGACAAAATACAAACCCCGCCCACCCACCCCTTCTCAATTGTGATGAATGTTTTATTCATTGTAAGCTGAAGGGCGAAGTTTAGCTGCAAAATCCTCATATCTCTACAAGAAATTACCATATGAAACTCATCACATTTGAAATTGGGGCGGGAGGGTGGGGCTCAATCTTTGTTTGTTTTTTTTTTAATAAATAGAGTTTTCTTTCAATGACAGAATAGTTAATCATGTTTTCCGTTTCTTGTTGGGAAAAGAAGACTTGATATATTAAGAAAAAATGGACAAAATACAAACCCCGCCCACCCACCCCTTCTCAATTGTGATCACTGCTTTATTCATCGTGAGCTGAAGGGCGGAGTTTAGCTGCAAAATCCTTATTTCTCTACAAGAAATTACCATATGAAATTCATCACAATTGAGACTGGGGCGGGTGGGTGGGGCTTAATTTTTGTTTTTTTTTTTAATACATAGAGTTTTCTTTCAAGAACGGGAAAGCTAAACATGTTTTCAGTTTCTTTTTGGGAAAAGAACACTTGGTATTTTTAGAAAAAATGGACAAAATGCAAGCCCCGCCCACCCACCCCTTCTCAATTGTGACGAATGTTTTATTCATCGTGAGCTAAAGGGCGGAGTTTAGTTTGCAAAATCCTCATTTCTCTACAAGAAATTACCATATGAAATTCATCACAATTGAGACTGGGGTGGGTGGGTGGGGCTTAATCTTTGTTGTTTTTTTAATACATACAGTTTTCTTTCAACAACGGGAAAGCTAAACATGTTTTCAGTTTATTCTTGGGAAAAAAAAATTCCTACATTAAGAAAAAATGGACAAAATACAAGCCCCGCCTATCCACCCCTTCTCAATTGTGACGAATTTGTATTCATTGTGAGCTGAAGGGCGGGATTTAGTTACAAAATCCTCATTTCTCTACAAGAAATTAAGATGTGAAATTCATCACAATTGAGATTGGGGCGGGTGGGTGGGGCTTAATCTTTGTTTGTATTTTAACATATAGAGTTTACTTTCAATAACAGGATAGTTAACCATATTTTCAGTTTCTTCTTGGGAAAAGAAAACTTGGTATATTAAGAAAAAATGGACAAAATACAAGCCCCGCCCACCCACCCCTTCTCAATTGTGACGAATGTTTTATTCATCGTGAGCTGAAGGGCGGAGTTTAGTTTGCAAAATCCTCATTTCTCTACAAGAAATTAAGATATCAAATTCATCACAATTGAGATTGGGGCGGGTGGGTGGGGCTTAATCTTTGTTTTTTTTTTAATATATTGAGTTTTCTTTCAACAACGGGAAAGCTAAACATGTTTTCAGTTTCTTTTTGGGAAAAGAAGACTTGGTATATTAAGAAAAAAATGGACAAAATACAAGCCCCGCCTACCCACCCCTTTTTAATTGTGACAAATGTATTCATCGTGAGCTGAAGGGCGGAATTTAGTTGCAAAATGCTCATTTCTCTATAAGAAATTACCATAAGAAATTCATCACAATTGAGATTGGGGCGGGTGGGTGGGGCTTAATCTGTTTTTTTTTAATGTATTGAGTTTTCTTTCAACAACGGGAAAGCTAAACATGTTTTCAGTTTCTTTTTAGGAAAAGAAGACTTGGCATATTACGAAAAAATGGACAAAATACAAGCCCCGCCCACCCGCCCCTTCTCAATTGTGACGAATGTTTTATTCATCGTGAGCTGAAGGGCGGAATTTAATTGCAAAATCCTTATTTCTCTACAAGAAATTACCATAAGAAATTCATCACAATTGAGATCGGGGCGGGTGGGTGGGCCTTAATTTTTGTTTTTCTTTTTTAATATATACCGTTTTTTTTTCGACAACAGAAAAGTTAACAATGTTTTCAGTTTCTTTTTGGGAAAAGACTTGGCATATTAAGAAAAAAATGGACAAAATGCAAGAAATGAACATATGAAATTCATCACAATTGAGAATGGGGCGGGTGGGTGGAGCTTAATCTTTTTTTTTATGTATATAGTTTTCTTTCAATAACAGGATAGTTAATCATGTTTTCAGTTTCTTTTGGGGAAAAGAAGACTTGGTATATTAAGAAAAAAATGGACAAAATACAAGCCCCGCCCACCCACCCCTTCTCAATTGTGATGAATGTTTTATTCATCGTGAGCTGAAGGGTGGAGATTAGTTGCAAAATCTTCATTTCTCTACAAGAAATTACCATATGAAGTTCATCACAAGTGAGACTGGGGCGGGTGGGTGGGGCTTAATCTTTGTTTTTTTTTTCTTAATATATAGTTTTCTTTCAATAACAGAATAGTTAAACATATTTTCAATTTCTTGTTGGGAAAAGAGTTTGTACATTAAGAAAAAAATGGACAAAATACAAGCCCCGCTCACCCACCCCTTCTCAATTGTGATGAATTTTTTATTCATCGTGAGCTGAAGGCGGACTTTAGTTGCAAAATCCTCATTTCTCCACAAGAAATTAACATATAAAATTGATCACAATTGAGATTGGGGTGGGTGGGTGGGGCTTAATCTTTGTTTGTATTTAATACACAGAGTTTTCTTTCAACAATAGGATAGTTAACCATGTTTTCAGTTTCTTCTTGGGAAAAAAAGACTTCTTACATTAAGAAAAAATGGACAAAATACAAGCCCCGCCCACCCACCCCTTCTCAATTGTGACGAATGTTTTATTCATCGTAAGCTAAAGGGCGGAGTTTAGTTTGCAAAATCCTCATTTCTCTACAAGAAATTAACATATGAAATTCATCACAATTGAGATTGGGGCGGGTGGGTGGGGCTTAATCTTTGTTTTTTTTTTTAATATATTGAGTTTTCTTTCAACAACGGGAAAGCTAACGATGTTTTCAGTTTCTCTTTGGGAAAAGACGACCTGGTACATTAAGAAAAAAATGGACAAAATAGAAGCCCCGCCCACCCACCCCTTCTCAATTGTGATGAATGTTATATACATCGTGAGCTAAAGGGCGGAGTTTAGTAGCTGCAAAATCCTCATTTCTCTACAAGAAATGAACATATGAAATTCATCACAATTGAGATTGGGGTGGGTGGGTGGGGCTTAATCTTTGTTTTTTTTTTAATATATGGAGTTTTCTTTCAACAACGGGAAAGCTAAACATGTTTTCAGTTTCTTTTTGGGAAAACAAGGCTTGGTATATTAAGAAAAAAAGGGACAAAATACAAGCCCCGCCCACCCACCCCTTCTCAATTGCGACGAATGTTATATTCATCGTGAGTTGAAGGGCGGGGTTTAGTTGCAAAATCCTCATTTTTCTACAAGAAATTGCCATATGAAATTTAGCACAATTGAGATTGGGGCGGGTGGGTGGGGCTTAATCTTTGTTTTTCTTTAACATATGTACAGTTTTCTTTCAACGACAGAAAAGCTAAACATGTTTTCAGTTTTTTCTTGGGAAAAGGAGACTTAAGAAAAAAATGGGCAAAATAAAAGCCCCGCCCACCTTCTCAATTGTGACGAATGTTGTATTTATCGTGAGCTGAAGGGCGGGGTTTAGTTGCAAAATCCTCATTTCTCTACAAGAAATTAACAGATGAAATTCATCACAATTGAGATTGGGGTGGGTCGGTGGGGCTTAATCATTGTTTTTTATATATATAGAGTTTTCTTTCAACAACGGGAAAACTAAACATGTTTGAAATGTCTCATTGGGAAAAGAAGACTTGGTATATTAAGAAAAAATGGACAAAATACAAGCCCCGCCCACCCACTCCTTCTCAATTGCGATGTTTTATTCATCGTGAGCTGAAGGGCGGAGTTTAGTTGTAAAATCCTCATTTCTCTATAAGAAATTACCATATGAAATCCATTACAATTGAAATTGGAGCGGGTGGGTTAGGTAGGATAGTTAAACATGTTTTCAATTTCTTGTTGGGAAAAGACGTCGTACATTAAGAAAAAAAATGGACAAAATACAAGCCCCGCCCACCCACCCCTTCTAAATTGTGATGAATGTTTTATTCATGGTGAGCTTTTCTATGTCAAAATTTTCTTCCAATATTTTTGCTGCTTCCAAATTCTTTCCAATAACATTAACTTTTCCAATTAACTCAAAATAATCTAATTTTATTAGTGTTTGATTATTTCGAAGTTCATGAAGTTTTAGTTAATTTTTGTTACATGTTTTCAATTTCATTTTGTCGGCCAGTGTTACACAACGTCCAAATTAAAAAAATCAAATTTAATGATATACAACACCGAAATGTTCCCCACTAAAATTACGTAAACACAACTCCTTTTCGAAATTTTGTTCTCCAAGCAATTAAATCAAAGCATAAACACTTCTTTCGTCGATAAAAACGAAAACACCGAAAAAAGTTCCCCTAATAAAAAAATAAACAAACCCAATTAACCTTGACATTTTAATAACCCACTTATCAACGACGTCGCTCATCAGCACCTAAAGACAACATAATCAAACGTCACAAATTAACTACGCCGCAGTAAATAAAGATAAACCCAAATGCATACACCAAACTCACTTTATCAAAACTCGAGTCTAAAAACACATTTACATAAAACCTGATAATCGCGTCTAAAGTTCAAGCACAAAAATCATCCCAACGAAAAAAAGTGACTCCGATTTTCGATAGCCGACTCAACTTTTCTCTATAGTACCACTCTGACCATCTACTTGCCTTTAATACAATTATTAGTGACAGGCAAGAGGCGAAGTTAACCCTACACCGACACACAAACACACAAAAAAAGCAGAAGCACAAATAAAGCGTGTTATTCTGGTTACGATAGTTCATGTTTCAAACTGTTACGACCCTCTTTTTTGAAAATTACGAGGCGTCAGCCTCACATCGAGAAGATCAAAGATACAACTTTAAGAGGTTTTGGGTCGTACCTAGTTTATGCTGACGCGTTATTTCATCAGGTGGAGAGCCCTTTCTATCGGTAATTGTCGTTGTACGATCGCCATACATGATACCCAATGGATCCAGCTGAGCTACCAAATGGCCGCGCGCCTGATGGTGGCATATTAAAAGTGTCATTTTTATACCAATCAGTGTATTTCTATGGTTTGTTAAGGTTCACCCGGAGGAAAAGGCGGATGGGTGGTGCTCATTTTATGCAGTCCGATAAAAGTCAAGTTTGACGTTAAGTTGAACACCAGCCATCCGCAACACCTTCATCACTTTTAATAAAGCAACGATCATCTTGCCAATCGAAAACAAACGAAAATAAAAAATACAAGCTGAAAATAGCCCGAGATGGCCTGGACGCGTGCCAAGGAAGGAAGCGTTTTGTTTTCGCGATGGATGGCATGTTGTTGCTCCATTGGCACGCGATTCTCCCTCCGTTCGAAAAAATAATTCGGTAATAACTATGCAACAATGTCCGAAGCTAGTCCTGTTACCTGGTAACTCCTGATGATCGCTTGGACTGCCAAGTGATCATCGATCACCTTTTCGCTGACGTGGCCACCGCCGGTCGCTCCAGCCAAGGCCGGAAGGAAGGACGTTGCCAGGACTTCGTTCTTGCCGAGGGGGGCTAGGGATGGGGGGGATTGGTAGCCGACACCGCCGGCGGCGGAGTTGCGGAAGAAGGAGTCCCATGACTAGAACACAAAAAAAAAAAATTAAATTTGGCATATTATAAAAGGTGGAAAATTACGTAGTACGCAGCAAGTGTTCACGTCACTATGTATCTAAGTAATGTGGGGGGCTTAAGTTATCTAAATACTTCCTTCAATAAAGTATAATTCGTGGATATATTAAGATTAAAAAATGGTTTCTAGGTTCATCTAGAAATTTCTGAGAGTAAGCTATTTAATAAGTATTAGCCAAACATATTGCCAGTCCATGAACGAAAACAACAATTATATAACCCCAAATCTACCAGTTTCTAACATCATAATCGACACAATAGCATTCATTCATTCTTCCGGACAACTTGTATAAAATTCAATTGGGATGCTAATAATTAATTTAGGGTAGGATATTTTGATTTTAATAAATACATTATTACTTAAATAAAATGTTTTTACAAGATTAATAGCGACAAAATCAGTTTCATCTTAACAAGTACTAGGCCCGCCCACCCGCCCCCTATTTTTTCAGAGGATATGTCATTTGCCAAAATAAGATTTATGTTAGCAAGTACTAGCCCCGCCCACCCGCCCTTTATTTTCTCAGAGAGTAGTACTTGTTAAGATAAGTCTTATTTTGGTAAATAACATTTCCTCTAAGAAACTAGGGGCCGGGGGGCGGCGCTAGTACTTGCTAAGGCTGATTTTGCCTCTATTAAACTTCCCTCGCCTCGATTTTTGCTTCAATTTTTCAATTCATCAATTTTTCATTTTTTTGTCTTCAGTTTTTCAATTTGCATCTTTTGGAGTTTTCAAGTTTAAAATTTTCAATTTTCCAACTTTTGATTTTTTTCAATTTTTCTATTTTTAAATTTTTCGGTTTTCTATTTTCGTTATTTTTTCACTTATTCGATTTTTCAGTCTTCGATTTTTTTGTTTTTTCAATTTTAATTTCCTGTTGCTCGTTTACTCAATTTTTCCATTTGCAATAATTCTTAGAGTTTTCGATTTTTAATTTCTCATTTTTTGGATTTTTCAATTTTTCGATTTGTAATATCTCAATTTTTAATTTTTTTGTTAGTACTTGCCTCATAAGACTGATTTTGGCAAATCACGTACGTTCTAAAAAGATAGAGGGCGGGTGGGCGGGCCTAGTACATGCTACGATAAAAATAATTTTGGCAGATCACATACCCTGTAAGAAAATAGAGGGTGGGTGGGCGGGGCTAGTACTTGTCACGATAAGATTGAATTTTTCAATTCTTCAATTTTTATTTTTTTTATTCAGTTTTTCGATTTGCAACTTTTGGAGTTTTCAAGTTTAAAATTTTCAATTTACCAACTTTTGATTTTTTTCAATTTTTATATCTTTAAATTTTTCGGTTTTTTATTTTCGCCATTTCTTCACTTATTCGATTTTTCAGTGTTCGATTTTTCTGTTTTTTCAATTTTAATTTCCTCAGCTTCTCGTTTAATCAATTTTTCCATTTGCAATTTATAGAGTTTTCAATTTTTAATTTTTTTGTTAGTACTTGCGTCATAAGACTGATTTGGGCAAACCACATACCATCTAAAAAAATAGAGGGCGGGTGGACGGGCCTAATACATACTAAGATAAAACTAATTTTGGCAAATCACATACCCTGTAAGAAAATAGAGGGTGGGTGGGCGGGGCTAGTAGATGTCACGATAAGAATGAATTTTTCAATTCTTCAATTTTTCTTTTTTTTTCTTCAGTTTTTCGATTTCCATCTTTTGGAGTTTTCAAGTATAAAATTTTCAATTTTCCAAGTTTTGAATTTTTCAATTTTTATATTTTTAAATTTTTCGGTTTTTTATTTTCGTATTTTTTCGCTTATTCGATTTTTCAGTGTTCGATTTTTTTGTTTTTTTAATTTTAATTTCCTCAGTTTCTCGTTTACTCAATTTTTCCATTTGCAATTTTTAGAGTTTTCAATTTTTAATTTCTCATTTTTTGGATTTTTCAATTTTTCGATTTGTAATATCTCAATTTTTAATTGTTTTGTTAGTACTTGCCTCATACGACTGATTTTGGCAAATCACATACCCTCTAAAAAGGTAGAGGGCGGGTGGGCGGGTCTAGTACATGCTAAGATAAAACTAATTTTGGCAAATCACATACCCTGTAAGAAAATAGAGGGTGGGTGGGCGGGGCTAGTACTTGTCACGATAAGATTGAAATTTTCAATTCTTCAATTTTTCATTTTTTTCAGTTTTTCGATTTGCATCTTTTGGAGTTTTCAAGTGTAAAATTTTCAATTTTTCAACGTTTGATTTCTTTCAATTTTTATATTTTTAATAATAGTATTTCCGTTATTTTTTCACTTATTAGATTTTTCAATGTTCAATTTTTTTGTTTTCTCAATTTTAGTTTCTTCAGTTTCTCGTTTACTCCATTTTTCCATTTGTAATTCTTAGAGTTTTCGAGTTTTAATTGTTCACTTTTTGGATTTTTCAATTTTCCGAGTTGTAATTTTTCAGTTTTTTATTTTTTGTTAGTACTTGCCTCATAAGACTGATTTTGGCAAATCACATACCCTCTAAAAAGATAGAGGGCGAGTACGCGGGTCTAGTACATGCCAAGATAAAACTAATTTTGGCAGATCACATACCCTGTAAGAAAATAGAGGGTGGGTGGGCGGGGCTAGTACTTGTCACGATAAGATTGAAATTTTCAATTCAATTTTTCATTTTTTTTCTTCGGTTTTTCGATTTGCATCTTTTGGAGTTTTCAAGTATAAAATTTTCAATTTTCCAACTTTTGATTTTTTTCAATTTTTATATTTTTAAAGTTTTCGCTTTTTTATTTTGGTTATTTTCTTCACTTATTCGATTTTTCAGTGTTCGATTTTTTAGTTTTTTCAATTTTAATTTCCTCAGTTTCTCGTTTACTCAATTTTTCGATTTGCGATTTTTAGAGTTTTCGATTTTTAATTTCTCATTTTTTGGATTTTTCAATTTTTCGATTTGTAATTTTTTAATTTTTAATTTTTTTGTTAACACTTGCGTCATAAGACTGATTTTGGCAAATCACATACCATCTAAAAAGATAGAGGGCGGGTGGGCGGGCCTAATACATACTAAGATAAAACTAATTTTGGCAAATCACATACCCTGTAAGAAAATAAAGGGTGGGTGGGCGGGGCTAGTACTTGTCACGATAAGATTGAACTTTTCAATTCTTCAATTTTTCATTTTTTTTTCAGTTTTTGGATTTGCACGTTTTGGAGTTTTCAAGTTTAAAATTTTCAATTTTTCAACTTTTGATTTTTGTCAATTTTTATATTTTTAAATTTTTCAATTTTTTACTTTCGTTATTTTTTGCTTATTCGATTTTTCAGTGTTCGATTTTTTAGTTTTTTCAATTTTAATTTCCTCAGTTTCTCGTTTACTCAATTTTTCGATTTGCGATTTTTAGAGTTTTCGATTTTTAATTTCTCATTTTTTGGATTTTTCAATTTTTCGATTTGTAATTTTTTAATTTTTAATTTTTTTGTTAACACTTGCGTCATAAGACTGATTTTGGCAAATCACATACCATCTAAAAAGATAGAGGGCGGGTGGGCGGGCCTAATACATACTAAGATAAAACTAATTTTGGCAAATCACATACCCTGTAAGAAAATAGAGGGTGGGTGGGCGGGGCTAGTACTTGTCACAATAAGATTGAATTTTTCAATTCTTCAATTTTTCATTTTTTTTTCTTCAGTGTTTCGGTTTGCATCTTTTGGAGTTTTCAAGTATAATTTTTTCAATTTTCCAATGTTTGATTTTTTCAATTTTTTTATTTTTAAATTTTTCGGTTTTTTATTTTCGTTATTTTTTCACTTATCCGATTTTTTTGTTGTTTCAATTTTAATTTCCTCAGTTTCTCGTTTACTCAATTTTTCCATTTGCAATTTTTAGAATTTTCGATTTTTAATTTCTCAGTTTTTCGATTTTTCAATTTTTCGATTTGTAATTTTTCAATTTTTAATTTTTTGTTGTACTTGCCTCATAAGACTGATTTTGGCAAATCACATACCCTCTAACAAGATAGAGGGCGGGTGGGCGGGCCTAGTGCATGCTAAGATAAAACTAATTTTGGCAGATCACATACCCTGTAAGAAAATAGAGGGTGGGTGGGCGGGGCTAGTACTTGTCACGATAAGACTGAAAATAAGACTATTTAGAAAATCTAAACTCAGCTGCGCCAACCTCTTGTGTCCATGAAATCGAGAAAATGAAAATCAAAAAATCGAGAATATGAAAAACAAAAATCAAGAACGAAAATCTGAAAAATCGAAAATTTGAAAAACTGAAAATGAAAAAACGAAAAATTCTAATATCGTACCGAAAAATTGATGGAATTTGGATTTGGATTCCCAAAACATTGATTTTTTTTACAACCTTGTACGATTTAACATGATCGCTGAAATAGTCAGGTTGATTTTATGCTCGACGATTGCAGCAACCTTCGACATAAAAAATCAGAAACTTCATTAAAAAGCGTGCTCAATCGAGTGAGCAGTATTCGGCTATAATTAATTAATTATACAGGTAGTAGTAAGTACGTTAAGAATACATGAAATTAAGCACAATGAAAGACAAGTAATTAAAATAACAGTTTTCGGCAATTAAAACGTTGAACTTTAAATTTATAATCTTATCGTCGTTTTACATTTTACTACAATGAACTAGAAAAAATTACACGGTAAGTAGATTAGAACTAATTAACATAGCGCAAACGTAGCGATAATAGTTTTAACACTACGTGTCCGAGAAAAGAAATTACGATTCCATGGTCTTTGTAATTAGTTTGAATAATGAAAATAGGAAAAACTACAGTTCACATTTACACCATTGAAACAAGATGAACAAAACAAATACTTCATTCTTTCCATAAAAGAGAGATTCCAGAACCAAAGAACTTAAAAAAATTTTGACAATTAAAAGAAAACCGCCACAAGCTGGATTTGTCGAGTTACCAACGCAAGAATAAAATTGACGACTCACGGATAATTATGTAC